AAACCAGCGCAATCATTTATGGAATTTAGGACTTTGAAATTTAAAAATAGAAACTAAATTTATCCATTGACAGTAGTGTATAAGCGCTTAAGCATCTGTACCTTATTGTTAAATCATTATAATACAATAATAATAATCTGACATATGCTCTACAATGTCTTGACTGATCTAAATAATAATATTCAACTGTATAGACACACTGATTGTTATTAAAGAGTATAAGTTTAAAATCAGAGATTAAATTAAGACGTGCCATAGCTCGTGACTGAAGATAATATCACTTCAACATTTGAGTGGACGCAATTATATCCACTATAAACTTGTACTGTGTAATGTGACTGCGACAGTACTTTTTTTTGTTTGACTTACTTGATATATTTTTTACTTGATATATTGCTTTTATTTCGAAGATTCAATATTTAAAGCTTCGTTTTTTAAATATTTTAAGTGAAAACCATTTTAATGTTGAATTTATTTTGCTAACGTGATTTTTTATTCGTCTGACTATTTCACCTTTTCTAAGTAAGATTTTGCTACTTTAATGACTTTAAGATTTGGTGTTATTATAAAAAAATATATTTTTATTTAGAGGAGCTCGATGACGCAGTGGTCGGCGCGCTCGGTCTGCGATACGGTTGTTAAGTAACTTTATCAATTACCGGTCATAGGATGGGTGACCAAATATTTACTGCCTCGGGCTCTTCCGTGCTTCGGAAGACACACAAGCCATTGATCCCGGCTACATCTTCAGTCAATATACCCACCAATCGACACTGGGCCAGCGTGGGTCATGGCCCATTCTTCTTATTCGACTGGATTCTATTTATAGGGAAGTCCTGAGCCTCAGCGGGGATATGAATAGGTTGGCGATGATAATGATGTTGATGACATAAAAAACACATACCCGACGAACATGCACCTTTGTCTTTTCGATTATGAATTATGTTATAAATGTAGTCCTTACATTGTTATTTATATAAGTATATAAGTACCTACCGAATCACGCAGTATTATTAAGCAACTTCGTGTTCATGATAGCAATTAAATTTTAACAATTAATCTAACAATTCCAATGAAATCAATTTTCTAACATGACCAAATGATATCAACGCCGGTGTTATTGTGGTTATTAATAAAACGTCAGATACATAGCCACAATTAAATTGGTCGTTTGGTGAATACAGCTTTCGCTAGATTTTCCATCTATAGTTGCATGTATCACGTGTAGATTGCCTTGTGATTACAATAATATCATTTACAATCATAGATTTTTAAATTGCAATCGACGTTCAGAAGAGAACATCCACTATTTAAAAAGAATGAAATAAAACCTCTGTTTAGGTCTTGGATCAGTAGAATCCTCATATTATTCTGGTGTTTATATCTATGGTTAAGGTACTCATTTTTGTGCCGCCTATCTACATTACTAAAAAAATTCAGGCAATTGCAAGTCTTGCCTTTTTTACATTAATATAAAAACCGGCCAAGTAAAAGTCAGACTCGCGAATGAAATGGTACATAAAGAAAAATAAAAAATCACGTTTTTGTTTTCTATGGAGTTTTTCAAAATTTTCGATCTAAATACAATTGGTTGATAATTACTCGTGAAATTGTAAAGCAAACTTCAATAACGACCTTTTAGTTGATAAAGGGGGGGCACTAAACTAACGAAAATTAACTCTTTTAAGCTTAATAAGTCACAAACTGTTTACTAAATCGAAAAACGGCCTTTCCATACCTTCAGCGTTTTTGAAAGACCTATCTAACGATGCCCCACACTTCCTATGGAGAAAACGGAAAAAAATATCATCCTCACTTTACATGTAGGGAAGGTACCCTAAAAACTTTTTTTTTCACTTTTTCGGTGTAATTAAGTGTATACTCATACCAAATCACAACTTTCTAGTACCAATAGTTTCAAGTTAAACCGCGGACGGTCGGACGAAGTACTTCGTTTACTACGGAACCTTAAGAACCATGGACTTGTCACAGGTTTTAATGGAAGTCTAATAAATACTTAAGATTCTCTTAAAGTGTTCTAATGCGCACGTAAAGTATTATTGCATACTAATTGATGTTCTACTAACTTCTCAAGTATAAGTAATATTTAATCAATTTTGAATTCACAATGCTATACTGAAATATATTCTTAATGAAATCTCAGGGTGCCAGAGACCAAATGGATTTTTTAAGAAATGTGTTAGGCACTATCCTTGTCGCTACAGGGGGTATGTGGCCTTCTTGCGAGAACCCACCCCACCCACACGGCAATATTTTATATAGAAATTTTAATTTTCTAAATAACTTCTTGGCCCCCCATGCTAAAAATGAAATTTAATCATATCATCTGCCTACACAACTGAATTAAATATGTGTATCAACTTCAATTTAGGCCCAGTAGTTTCAGAGCAGTCAGATCCTGTAAAATATGTGATCCGTTTTTTTAAGTACGCAACCCTGTAAAAACTAGCAGTACTTACCGTCATAATAACTTATCAGATAGCAGTAAAACAAAACAATAATTAATTAGGCATGTATGTAGGGAAGTAGGTGCACTGCTATTAATTATGAATAAAACATGGCTCAACATTAAAGTGTGTAGGCAGAGTAAAACATAATACTTAATATAAACATATGTCATCATTCTACGAATATTATTAATGTTTGTAGGACGTATGTTGTTACCTATGTTTAAAAAAAATAGGCATAGCATATATTTCATTAAGGATGAGTAGTTAAAGCCCTCACATTATAAACTATCTGAGACAACGTACGCACTGCAACACATAGACCCGAGACAATGTAGATAAGTCCATTTTCTACATTGATCCTACCGGGATGGTAACACCTTGAAACCAGCTTGAACTCTTACCCATCCTGGAGTATTACTAAATGTATTTTAATGTTCGGTAAATCGATGATTCTAAGCCTGAATAAAATAAATATTATAAGCTACTTTTTATACCACTAAACGGTTCCCTAGGAATAAATGTGGCAGGCTATAATTTACGCAAGCGGAGTCGCGGGAAAACAGCATGTACTTTATAAGTAAAGTGACATTTTATCTTAGGAATTCTCTACTATACTAGGTTATGTATAGGACGAAGAGAAAACCAGTATAGGTGGCTACATAGAAGAGAAAGAGGGAGGGATGGTGTACTAAGGCAACGGGTGCATCAGTGACATTTTGTTTCCTGTTGAGCATTCTTGTGGTGACTACATACACATCATCGCCTCGGTGGCCGAGTAGCTCACATGTCGGTTTCAAGGTATTAAAATTTCTGAGGTTACATTTCGATTCTGGGCCGGATCAATATAGAAAATTAACTACTTATCTATATTGTCAAGGGTCTGGTAATTGTGGTACTTTCGTTGTAACAGATTTTTAATGGCTGAAGCGACTTAATTTGGGATGAGTAAAGATGTTTTCGTTAAGCTGTCGAATAAAAAATTTGAAAATTTGTCAAAAATTGGCGGAATTATCGGTGAACATACATAAAAAAATATACATCACCGTCAAACATATAACCTCCTCCTTTTATATTTTGAAGTCGGTTAAAACACTGGAAGCTACTTCATACGCGGGTGACATAGGCAATAACTTCCGTAGGCGAAGTCGCAGTGCTACAGCTTGTTTACATATTGATAAAAAGGTCGTAAAATGAATGATGGAGTGAACATGCGTAGATGCAGTACGGTGCTATGTGACGTCTGGCACTCTGATGCAGACGAGACTCCACGCAATCAGTTCAGCTGAGTTTCACCCGGAGTATTCGTGCTGTTACTTTTACGCGCGCGGCCGCGCACGAACAACGCTCTGTTTCCCTAAGACACTATTATAATTGTCTATAATACGTTGACGGTGGAAAACTTTGACTTTCCATTAGATTTTACACGATCTTTGTCACCTCCGACTGTCGAATATACCTATACAGCCTACGTGGTTCAATTAATTTGGAATGTCACGAGAATATTCTAATGTTCTAATTTTATTGAACAATACTAATGATACATTTTCTATGAAATATCTACAATGTAGATTCTACATTGTAATATTTTTTTGCTCCTTATTTAATATTTTAACTTATTTTATTTGTGCGAATTAAATTTGTATAAGAATGTTAAATATTAGTTTATAAGTTAATAAGTAGTATAATAGACATAGCACACGTTACTCTAGTCCGAAACTAAGGAGCTAAGAACTTATGTTAGGTCACACAACATCCAGACCCGAGACAATACAGAAGAGAGCATTTATCCGACCGGACGAAACCGGTGTGCGAACCACAAGAGCACGATACTTGTCTTTTAAAATAAAAAGAAGTTCGACTATCTTGGTAGAACCAGTTTTATTTTAAACAAATATGTTAAAAACTAAGGCCAGATCCAACGATCCAAATATAAACATTTTTGTTGATAAAAAAAAAACATTAAAACCCGCTATCTATTTTAAAGACAAATGAAAATAATGAAACCGTGATGTTCCACCATATGAGTAGGCAATATGCCGCATTATGCTATGACTAGATACAACAATATTTCAGATTATTCTTATTCATTATACACACCGCTTTCCTCGGCGCCGTCAAACGAAGGTGCGCGTGAGATCCGATCGCGACCACGAACAACTACCACTCCTGAATTTGAATAAGAGCCTATTAAGTGAGAAATCTGATAGTGCACAGGAACAATGAGGGGTCCGTTGCATTTTTATTTTGTTCCATATGAAACTTGTTACTTTGTTTTCAGCAGATACAATTTTTAACCAAAACTCAAATGAATTTTGTTAACAAGTTCGCAATATTGCAATGATCAGCATCATCAGTTATGCAGATGAAAATTTTATATTCAGAATGACATAAAAAGGTTGTTTACCATGGAATGTGAGCGGAACCAAACTGACAAATAAATAAATATGCGTGTCAAAGTTTTGTGCAATCTTTGTGTATATCTCTTTGGACCAACGTACTTTTGATATAGCTTTAGCCTTCAGAGGTACAATGTCGTTGCCTCTGAAGGCTAAAACTATATCAAAAGTACGTTGGTCCCGCCACTGTGACATCAGAATGGAAAAATATGAGATGTCATTCATGAACAAATAAATAATTGATGATCGATAATGCCCATTATAGAAGGTATGGCGGTACAGCCAATATAAATATGCACAGTACCGTATAAAAGGCATCTAATTCAACCGGAAGATAACGTAGACGGGTTCACGGGACCGAATCGTGACTTTAGACTTATTATCCGAATCACAGCGCAGTGAAGTATTGTAAGCAGATTTGGTGCTAAGCTAACGGTAGACGCTCGAGGGGCGAAATAACGATCGTAGATGCGAACGATCTGGACGAACGGTAAAAACTAAATCGCTTCCCATGTTTTACGTCAAGAACATCTTTTGTTTTTTATAGAGTTCTATCTCGAGACATCATATCCGTAGATTTTGGAATCGCAAACCATATAACAATTCATTAAATATATATTTAATGAATTTAATGGGTAATTTCGTAACACCGGCAATACTATACAAGACATTATCCGCTTCTTGCTATAGTAGTTGACGTAGGAAGTTTCAGTAAAGAAGAGTATTTAAAATGAGTAAATGTATATAATATGCGACTATGCACGATCAATAATATTTCCAATACGCTACAAGTCTCACTCGGATATTTTTCCGCTCGATCAAAGTTGTTTTGGGGTGTATTTGACTAACTAAAATTCCCAACCAAAGTTAAATGGAATCCAGCGCTGACAAAGGACTAGACGTTCTAATGAAAAGGTAGCAGAAAAATCACTGACCATATTTAAAAAAAAAATACAGCGTCGTCGAACATGTAACCTCCTCCTTTTCTATTTTGAAGTTGGTTAACAAATACTAGTTTATATTAATTCATAGAAGGCATCTTCATAATACCTATTAATAATAGTGTACATACGGCCGATTTCTGAAATGAACAAAATCTCAACTGGTTATTTTCAATAACTTAAGTTTTTTACTTTTACAAGTCAAAAGTCCTAGTTAAGTACTAATCATTAAAAAAACTAAGATCAGAAACGGAAAACTGTTTAAGTGACGTTTAAGTAGCTACAGTTTAAGACGTGCTTAACTTTAAATACGTCAGAAACCGTGTGTTAGTATTCTAAAGTCTACCTCATAAGCTCCATTGAAACCTCAATATACGGCTTAAAATCTCCGTCACTATTAAATTAACAGGTCATCCCGATCATCAGATTGCAAGTTACTGTTTTAAGCTCTGTACTCTTTATTTCAGAGTGAAGCAGTCGAACACACGGATGTGCCCGCAGCGAGACCTGGTGAGCTGAGGCAGCGCTCGATGGCAGCGGTATCGGCGCGCACCCTCCTGGTGACCGCGGTGCTGGCTGTGCTGGTCGCTGCGGGTGCCCGCGCCGCTCGCTTCGGCGATCGCCTCGCACCTAGAGTACCAGCCGCCTACGCACCGCGCCACGCCCCCGCTGCGCATCACTATGCCGAAGCAGACTACGATGACTCTTACGAACAAGAGTACGATGACCAAAACCTCTCTGCTGAGGAAGACGAGCCGTCCTCGGAGACGGAACCGCCCCCGCGCCGTCCAGCGCGCACCGAAGCCCATCGCCTCGAGATGAGCACCGAATATTTTATAATACCAGAACACACTCCGTCGTCTGCTCCTCCGCCGACGTCTTCGAGACCGTTAACGTCTACGTTGCCGCCTGAAAAAAACAAGAACACCACGATAACCGTAACTCAGCCGCCTTCAGGAAATTTGCGACACGAATCATGGGCCGTCCCGATTCTCGCTCTCGCCTCTGTCACGATGGTGACTCTCGGAGGTTTCGAAATATTCGTAATCTGGGGAGCTAGGCGAAAAGCCCCTAGTCATCGTCACCTCCTCCTCGGCCAGTGTTTACTGTTCGGTTTATTCACATGCGCTGCCACAGCTGCGCTCTACTCGACCACACCGACCGTGTTCACTTGCGGTGCAGTCCGTTTCGGGACTGGAGTTGCATACGTTATAGTGTTTGCATCTTTGCTCGTTAAATGTGTATTTCTGTTGAGTTTGAATGGTGGCGTGTACTTGCCGGCAGCATACCAGGCGTTACTCCTATTTTTTGCAGTCATGATTCAGGTAGCGATAGGTGCACAATGGCTTGGCGGGTCACCTCCGAGAGTGATATTAGGCGGAACGAGATGTGACTCGCAATTATCTGATATGCTGTTATCATTGTGTTATGCGGCATTCCTGATCGCGGTGGTGTGCGGGGTGGCGCTGCGGTCGCGTGGAATCCGCGACAATTACCGCGAGGCGACACACATAGCGGGTGCGGGCGGCGCGGCGGCCGCAGTGTGGGTATGCTGGGTGGCGGCGGCACTCGGGGCGCCGGAAAAACATCGCGACGCCTGCATTGCGGCCGGCTTGCTCGCCACCTGCGCCGTCGTATTCGCTCTCATGTTCGCTCCGAAAGGACGTCGGTTGGCAGCACTCGGCCGCGAGGGCCGGTGGGATGCCGACCGCGATGAGGGACTCAGCTCGCTCGGCGCCGGTGGCTCTGGTTACTCGCCATCGTTCTTCCACTTCAAACCCGTCAAGTACGGAATGGTGTCAGCCGCAGCGCCCGTTCCCGGCCCACCACTCGTGCTCGATCGCAAGGACCCGCCCGCTCAGCCAGCCGGTTAGTTAAGTATCTAAAATGCGCTAATAGTGAGAAAAGCGCTTGAAGCACCGACGTTTAACCCACGTTCTGTTCGCAGATCCGTATAGAGCGATGTACGCGAGTTCTCCGCACCTGCACTCACGCCCTCTATGCTCTCCGCCGCACTACCCCCTGCACCCCTTAATGCACTATCACTACAATTACTCACCATTCCAATATCTGTTACCTCCAGGTAATTTTAAGCACATACATCATTGAACTTGTATAATGAATCATGCACCTTTGGTTGAGAGTTTTATTCTAAAGCTATCTTAGTGTATCTAACACCTATGTTTTCCATGGAACTGGATGACAGTGAGAAACTTATTATGTAATCTGTTGTACAGGCGTGATGGTGCGGCCGGAGGAGGGGAACGTCTACACGAGTGTGGAGCCCACCTTCAGCAGCAACCCCAACGTATACTTCCAACGCACGGAGCCGTTGCACGTCGGCATGATGTACTGAGCCCCTGACAATCCAGCGTTCCTTAGCGAACAATGGTATTTGGCAGAGCAACAGCGGCGCACCGCTCTATCGCTAGAACCACGTGATACCAGATAACAAATCAAAACATGCTACTCATGACGCCAATTCATGTAATTACCAAGTTCATTTCGAACTTTATTGTTGCTGCATAAAGGTTAAAAACCTTACACATTATTCATTTCTACAGTTAATTGTAAATGATTCGAATTGTTTAAACAGTATATTTTTCAAGAGATAAAAGGAATTCTGCTTTGTTGTACTTATTATCATCTTCTTTCTAGTCATCAATGTTTAGTTTATTAAAAGAAGTAGTGTTATTAAAAACTAAATAATTCAAAGGCTGATAAATACTTTTATTATGCAGCAACAGAATATATTACCAAAAAAATTACCAGACTACTGTATGGTGAAGTGAAAGAAAAGCCGTTTGTGATTTGATATCGAACTCAACCCACCCTAATAAAGAGGAAAACAGCCAAGATTGTGACCTTTATTGTAGCTATAAGTTAAGGACCATATAATTTGTAAGCCTCACACTGCAAAAGTTGTAAATAAAAAAATAAAGACTGTTTTACAAAATGTTTTATTATCATTATGTTATATATTTTTTTATAAAATTATTCTAACAAATTCACTCTCAACATGTTGCCGATACACATCATTACTTCAAAGTCATCTTAATAAATATGCACTCACTCTCACTGATATTATTCACTTGGAGCCAGTAGAGAGGAGAGCTAGCAATCCCGATGCTGTAGTAAGAGACACGATGTAGTTGCTGTATATTAGTCAAGGAAAAATAATAACAATATTAATATTTTATTGTCTCTACATATCTACATTTTTAGACCTCTAAGTGCCTAAGAGGCAAAAAGAGGTAAAAATGTAAATATTCTGAAATTAAAAAAAAAACTTCATTTAATATATGTCTAAACAAATATTACAAAGAGGAAAAGTTTGATTGTTTCTTTGCATTGAATAGACTCTGAAACTACTGGAATAATTTTAAAATTTCTTCAACCCACTGGAAACAAAATCATTGCTAGTAATATAAGGTATAATTTATTAACGTGAAGTCATAGGAAAATAGCTAGTATAATATATTGCACCAGCTAAACTAAATTTAATAATAATCCTGTCAAAATGTTTTCAATTCTTTTGATGAGTAAGGTAAATGTTCACTTGTAGTTTATTGCCTTAAAAATACCTCAGAACTGTTAATAAAAAAATAAGTTAAGAATGTTGTACAACAGAATTTGCACAAATCTTAAATAATTGTTTTTTTTTTGTAATATATAGTGTAGAACTACATACAACAAATTGGCACCACTCTTAAACAATGATCTAAAATATCAAAAAAAAATTATAACTTTAGAATTATGTACAACAGAATTGACACCATTCTAAAAAAATGGTGCCAATTCTATTGTAGAACATTGTAAACTAAATATCTTTTTTATTAAATCTCTGACGAAAGAAGTTTTACATCTAATTTAGGTACTATTACATCTCTATCTGTCAATATATATTTTATTTAGTAAAGGATACACAGTGGGTGTGAATGTGCGCAACAGGTAGAAACTACTCAGTATCACGATGGTGAGGAAAAGAGCATTGTTGTAGAAGATTGAGTAGGTAGTCGCCTCGTAATCCGCCACTTCATTCTTCTTCCAAAGAATTCTGAAAAATATTAAAACAGTCATGATATCTTTGTAGTAATGAAAATAAGTTTTACAAAATGATTATATATTTATGTACTGGATGTGAAAAGTTAAATTTTGTAAGTAGTTATTATTATTTCCAGTGCATAAAACATTTTACTGTAAATATGAGAAAATAAGGTAAACCACTTTAGACAACTAATATAAAATAAAAAGCATAAGTTTTGTAACTTGCAAATTAGAATAGACTAAAAATACAGAGAATAGTACTATACTAATTATTTTATAGAAAAATACTAATTATACTGTATGATAATTATATGATACTAATTATACTATAGAAAATTGTATACATACCTCTCGTCCTTCTCTTTCCGGCTCATCTTCTTATCATCAGCCAGTTTACGAGCCATTTCTCGCGCCACAGCATCCTCACGCCTGACAGCTACGCGATGTTTCAAATGGAACTTAGTGTTGCGATACGCCAGAGCTAGGAACCATGTGCTGGCGGTGGTAACCAGAGCAAACCAAGCCAGTGAAGAACTCACCTCCAGAGCATGCACTCGCCAGAACAACCCTGATCACAAAAACTTATTTATAATTTGTTACGCTGACACCTACTGAAAAGGCCATGAATTAAAAAAATATTCTATACTGATTGTGAATTAATTTATAAAACTTTAAAGGGATAAACAATAGAAATTACTTACATATTGGAATAGCAGAAACTATAAATGCATTTCCATAGAAAAGTGCCGAGGACTTGGTGGATACATTCCTGCTGAAATCTTGTAAGAGCAGCTCTTCTTCTTTTGTGAATGCCTTATTTACTTTTCCAGACATATTGTTGATCAATAATTAAATCACCACCATACAGTCAAGAGACAAACGATACTTGAAAAAGTAGAACGAAAACCACTTTGTTGGCAAAGGAAAGGGGAAACGTCAAATGACATGTAAGCAACGTGTCAAAATTTGGATGAAAATGTTACCAGTATACATATTATGGCATCCATATACGTAAGTATACATTGCAAAAGTTAAAATGGTGCAAAGTGTTGCGTCTATTTGTTCAAGTGAATCTTATAGTGGTTGCAATACGTTTTTTCATGATTAAGATAAAAATAACAACATTGTATATCTAACAGCTTTTTTTAGTTTTGCAAATAATGTTATAGGAAAGTATTATTACAGTTTTCCGAAAAATGAAGAAATGCGACAAAAATTTCTCAACAGTTGGGGATAGATGCGTGAAGCAGAAAATTCAGTTGTAAGCAATCGTCACTGTGAAAGGGTTTAAAAATCATTCGACAACCGAAATTGGCCCTTGAAACTTCATAAAACAATTTTTAGTAATGACTATTAATTTAATTTTGAATAAAAAAAAATTCTTAGAATATGAGGAAGATTTTATAAAATAAAAATTAGTTCTTGAAATCAAATTAGTTGTCACTGGCGATGTTTGGATCTTGTCTATGATATTCATCCTTTTGTTTCTGACATAATAAAAGTAAATTGATCATCGAAAATAATAAATACGACATCGTTTCGTGTTTTTTATAATATCTAATTTTCAAATTAATTTTACTTAATTAATTAATTTGAATCGTAAGTTTAAGTTACTTATTATGTTACGTGTAAACGATGTTTAGTTTATATGTCACAATTAGGGATAAGCAGAGGTCGGAACTAGCTACAGTTATTTATGTACTTGCATCGAAATGTTGATATTAATGTGGACCTTCCCGGGATTTCTTTATTTCCTCTTTCTTTATTTCTTTCTTTCATTGATGTAAGTTTGGCAACGTCGTGCGTGCAGTAGTTTAAATTGTGTAAAAGTAAATAAATTTTTATTTAAAAAATCACGGGATTTTTTCTGCTCTTTATAAATTAATCTCGAGATTTGAGGCATATCCACTTTATTCTTTCGCTGTATGAAATCAGTGTAAGTACATGAATAACTTTACCTAATTCCGACCACTGGTGATAAGCAATACAATTGTTGATCGAAGTTTTATTACTATAACAACTGCTATGCCTTTGTAAGAACTGTAAGGTTGAAGGTGAGGTCCCTACTTGATAATGGAGACAACTGGCAAGGGAGACTAAAGGATAATTGTCTCCCTCCAAGCTAGATGTTGTTAGCCCAGGGACCGCGATCCAACCGATATAGGTTGGACATTCTATTTATCTTAATTGGTAATAAAACTTATTCTGTGAGTTGTAGGTTTCTTTGTTCTAAATGCCTTGAATTTTTAATGTCTTATTGGTACAGCGCCATCTCGTTACTGGGTGTTGAAATTTATCTATAATATACATAGTAAAAGCCTATAAGTATAAAACCCTATAAGCATCCTATTAATATTATAAATATGAAAGTTTCTTTGTTTGGATAATGTTCGGATGTTTGTCGGTCAATCACGCTGAAACTACTGAACGGATTTTGATGAAATTTGGTATAAAGATAAGGTATTAGCTGACTTAGATAATAGGATACTGTTTATTCCACTTAACATTTCCTTTGGGTCCATGCGGGCGAAGCCGCTGGCGCAAGCTAGTATAAAATAAATTATAAAATATATTTATTTTAACATAAGTTAAACAAGATTATTGTGTACGATGCTATTTTTTTATAATGTAACACATAATGGAGTGAACTCTTTAACGTTGAAAACCTCCTGCTTAAATTTATAGTTTTTATTAATGACAACTTGGTGTTTAAATTTTTTTTTTACTCTTCTTCTTGATGTTGTCAATAAAATGGTTTTTCAAGTTTCGGTTGTTTGAAAAAGCTTTTTTTAATTTCTTCCTTTAAGTTCACATAAATATCAAGTGGCAAAATATATACTGAATTAATTACCTTTAAGTGTTTTACGATACATAATTTAAATATGGCAAATAAAATAAAAATTAAGAAATATTTTTTGTGATTCTACTCGGCTTGCTTACTCAGCTAGCCTAGTCGACGAAAGTCTTAATAGAATATTATTGCCATTATACATAGTATTGAATGTAAAAAACCAAAAGTGTCAGAAGCCGAAGCCAGTAAAATCTATTTAAAAAATAAAATCTTATGTATGTTTTCAAATATTTGAAAAATGATCGTTTTCATAGATTCGTATTTTTAAAACTTAATTAATTAATTGTTACAGTAAAGTTTTAAGCATTTTGTGTGTTTCAAAATGAGCCATTTTGAGTTTGCTATACCTTTGCAGAAAGATGAATTGTTAGAGTCACATGCTGGACAGTACCATGTCGAAGATGTTGTTCAACCAAGATTATTACTTTCCAAACTCCAAGGTAGGTTTAAAATATTTTATTCTTTCTTTAAAACAATAGCAATGTTATTACAAAAAAGATGTTAGATAGGATGAATATAAACCCTGTTTAAAATGATCTTTGACTATGTCTATTACAAATCCATGTTCAAACATACAACCCATAAAACAGTCGTTCAGTCTGCTTTCATTGATTCATAAACCCTCAAAAAGTATTTATATTTTAACAGTGTTTAAGGGACATTTTGGCTTTACCAATTTTGTAATAGAAAAATTTTCAAACATGCATTCAATACGCACCTCATTTAAATAACACTGTAAATTCTTAAATATGACACATTTTCCTTCACAGATGCGGCCAGAGCTTACAACAGTGAAGGAGTAGAATATATAATTGAACATTTTGATACTTATTTTTCCATAATAGTTCATGGAAATAAATTGGAATGGAACATTATAAACAAAGGTAAAATGGCCTAATTATTTTTTGGAATTCAAAAATGTGTATATAGTCCAATACACAATTCGAATTCTATTAGACTATTCATATTGTTATACTTAGTTCATATTGTTATTCTTGTAATATAAATAAAGCATTAATTGCACAAAAATCATGCATTCGAGCCATATGTGACGTAAAAAAAATAGTATCTTGTAGACCACTTTTTAAAATCTTAAAAATACTAACGGTCCCTTGCTTATACATTTATGAAATATGTGTTTTCGTTAGGAATAATCCGCACTTTTTTGAACGTTATGATGATATTCCTCGTAAGTTTACCACTAGATATCCAAACAAATTGCAGCTACCTTTGATAAAAACGGAAATGTGGCAAAAAAGTACTTATCCTATGGCAATCAAAATTTTTAATAAGCTGCCATAAAATCTAAAAACGACAGGCTTAGTATATTCAAGTCTGAGTTAAAAGAATGGCTTACGGCGAAATGTTTTTATAGCTTAAAGGAATATTTTGAATATAAATGTTGACATATTATCTCAAAATTATGAATTATTAAACTACTATTATTGCGTTATATTGATGAAATTTAATTGACATTTGTTTAATTTTATGATTATTATTGTAATTCCCTAATTGTTATAATTTCTTCTGCATGCCAGTTTCTGGTAAATATGTCTGTTAACTAGAAAATAAATTGTAACATCTTGTACTTTCCATATTTATGCAGAAATAAATATATTATTATTATTATTAGTTTCTATAAATTCATTTATACAATTATCTTTAGGTTTTGATCACATTATACGGACAGCAAAAAACCTATGTAACCATCTCGAATTGATATTACAAGATCAAGAGATTGATAATGATGTCCGTGTCAAGAATTTAAATATTGTGAAAATGGTTATGTATCTGTTTACACAAGTTATGAAAACAAAGGACACTAAGTTAGCAGCAGATGTAAGTTGACTTATTTATTTATTATAAAAACTTATATGATCATAACAAACAAAGTAAAGGTAAAACAAAATTGTCTTTGAGTAACAATTCAAATATTTATTTTTTAGCCTCTATTTCATTGTCTTCTAAGGTCTGTAGCTTTTTAAAGAAGAATAAAATTGTACTCTTGGTTACTTTTTGTTAAAACTTTCACTATATGGAAATAATAATGATAAAAAGAAAATAATGTCCTGTCTACTTGTCATATAACAATTACATATACAACTTTTGAAGTAGGAGCCAACTTATATGAAGTATGATCCTTGTTAGCACAGAGAAGATCTATCAATTCTGACACTGATTGAACATGCTGTTTAAATTTGTAATGAATGTTGTTTCAATCATCTTATTTTAATATAAAATAAATGTCTATCTCATTCAAACTTTGGGTGTGCTAGATGTGTATATTGCCTAATGGCATGCTACTTGAATGATTCTGATTGCCTAGGATTGCAGTACAGATACATCAATAAACAGATCAATAAGACCTAAATTGTTCCTACTGCAAAATCCTTCAAGAATAATGAACCTTACAAATTTTATAAAAAAAAAATATCAAACTATTATTGTGCTTTGAGAGAGTCCTGGCGCAATAAACAAATTCAAATTTTGTATGCAATTAAGACTAAATTTGCTTTGTTTTCTTTTAGAATTCTACAAAATTAACCCTTGGAAAGAAGGGCAAGAAAACATCTGATGATAATGAAGAGTTTTGTGGCTGGACTGAATCCGACAAACAGGCAGCTCTGGTCACATTACACTTAATATTACAACAACCTCTTTCTCGGTTATGGGATCCACCATTAGCAGAAGACAATTTTGTGTCGTAAGCAGATCAGACTCTAGATTTATTTAAAACTTACATGTATTAATTTTATTTAAAATAATTCATAAATTTAATACTTGTTACGCCTTTATCATTTTAAAATTGTTTAGTTATGGACATGAAATATCTTTCTTATTATTTTCTCTGACTAATTAATGTTTGTGGTTTTAAATATGGAATTTTAATTCCCAGAGTATATATTGGAAGTAAGAGGCCATCCATAAATTACCAAACACTCATGGTTTTTAAAATAAAGCCAAAACATAATTAGAAAAATTTTAATTAAGTTTAGAACAGTGCCAGATCTACTATTATAGATTACTTACACTTATTCTTATAAAGCCTAAAACAAGCCCTGAATCTTAAGAAAACATTACTGTCTAAGGCTGCTTGTCCATTGATGTGGTATAAGCAGAGAAATTGAGATACATTAACCAATAAAAACTACTCCATTCCAATGGACTGCTATTGGTAAATATTTCTTAATTTCTATGCTCTGCTGCCTTGCACATCAATACAGGAAAACTAAAGATATGTAAGATATGTCATTGATATTCATTTGAATAGGCAAATTTTGACTTTGTTCTTATAGAATAAACATTTTATCAAATTGAACAGTGCAATATTTTGTTTTTCAGCATGGTGGCAGAGCCATGTTACAAAGCATTGGAAGAACAAATAATTAAAAACAAAGCAGTGAGGGAGACAGTATTTCAAGTGCTTGGTGTATTGATAAAAAAATACAATCATGGTACATCTTGTCTAATTAAATTAGTACAGGTAAATATTTCATACATGGTAAATATTGAATATAAATATTAGTACAGGTAAATGTTATGGATACATATATTTATTATACATGTTATACATCTATTAATACCTTTTTTTTCCATTACAGGTTCTACAAATGTTTGAGCATGCTGTCTTACCCATATGTGCTGGAGTGGTTCAATTGCATAAAGCCTTTGGGCTTGGTACATTTGGTCCTCAAATGGTTATTATCTCTTACAATATATAAACATAACTTTGAATTTATAATCTGTTCCTGTAGCAGTTTTAAAAGAATTTTTATTGTATGAAACACTATATGTCGCTGATCCCTGTACAACAATAGGCAGAACCACTCGGAAACGATACAGAGTTATCTGGGTATCAATACGTATTATTTCCTTTCAACTTTCACATAGGTAATAGTTTGTGTCATTTCCCTTATTTCGCCCTAGAAATAAACCGTGGTTATGTTATCATGGTTATAACTGATATAGGATTACTAATATAGGATTTTGGTATATGCATATATAGTGATATCTCAATTATTTTACCAAACACAAGAGATTATTGTTTGGATTTTCACATAAATAATCGCCTTTAGAAATATGTACACAACAACACGTTATGTTAACACAATATGTCAAATTTGCCCAGTATACTTTAAACTCTGCTTCAATGTATTAAGGTTTAAAATTAAATGGAGAAATATTATAGTTTTATGTAATCTGTGACTGTTGATTGTACTTACTAATAGTACCTATGTTTTTTCACAGTAATCGCATTTGGATTGATTTATGTAAGATATAAAATAGTTGAAACTTGTAAAATTCTTCTTTTACCTGTAATGAATATATGTTTTATTCATGTTTAGGTTCGTGAAATCGCGGAAGCATTAGCATCGTCCGAAGAAGAAAATGTGGGCGCAGGGACGGAACAAGGTGCTGCCCGTAACTGTGGTACCTTCCTGGTGGAACTCACCAAAGAATTACCTAAAGAGATGACAGGAGCTATTGCCACTATACAGCCTTATTTAGAGAGTGATGAGGTTTGTATTTGTGACTTATGTCCGAGCTATATAGGGTTACATATAAAATACGAACTAGATCCGCGGTTGTCAAAAAGCGGCTGGCAGCCTTAAGCGGCTGGTGGGGCTAGCTGTGTATCAAATAATTTAATTAGCAAACTAAGTATTAAAAGAAGAGGCAGCTGTTTACTGCTGCAGTAGTGTTACTAACACTTATTAGTTACTACTAAAAATTATAGCAAAACAAAACTGGTATTCACGTTTTGCGCTGCCATTACACTAATAATTAAATTGAATACTGTATTAACACCTAAACCACACACACTTTCAAATTAAAAAACAATGTATATTTATTTTCCTGATTTTTGTTATTATTTTTTTTGTTGTGTAAACAGAACTAGTTAAAGTCAAATACTTAATAATAAGTCAAATATTGCAACACAGTATTTGACTTATTATTATTAATTTCTGCAATTTAATTTTGCATCCATTCGCATAAAAATATACGTCAACACTCAAGCGTAGCGTCGTCATCCATTCGTTTATGAACGCAATGTAGACTTATAAACATCTAACACCGTATAAATTTTAAGTACTTGACACACATGTATTAAAAAACGTGCGAAAATCATCATGATTATCCAACAATTTATTATATTAAACACCATTCTTTCGAAAACACCAATCCATTCTTGGTAGAAATTACTATTCCTGGAAATGATTTAGGTTAACAACTAAACATTTAATTAAGTGATGGTGCTGATATTGTGATGGCCGCTGTCCTAACATATTTTCATTTATTAATATTTCCACAACACAAATTTTATGATAAATAATTACCATTCGCAATTTATGTTAGTACTAGCTTTCCTCCAGCGGCTTCACTTCGCGGTCTTGTATTATACATAAAAACCTTCCTTTTGAATCACTCTATGTATGAAAAAGAAACCGCATCAAAATCCGTTGCGTAGTTTTAAAGATTTAAGCATACATAGGGGATATAGGAACAGAAAAAGCGACTTTTTTTATGCTATGTAGTGATAATATTTACAAACCGTCCATTTAGTAAAAATAAATTCTTCATTTACAGTCTTATACCCTTCGTATCAGTGTGTTGGGTATGATGTGCGAAGTTCTCAGTGTTGAACTTCGAGGGGAGGGACTGTCGGATGAACAACGAGCTCAACGGGATGACTTCCTAGATGAGTTGTATGAACACATGCATGACCTCTCCGCCTATGTGAGGCATAAGGTTAGTACTCTATCATAAACCATATACCTACACGCGTATATTACGGTCGCCGAACAGAAAGAACTTCGTACGTTGACCTTTGTGCCTCTGACAAAATTGACTAGATACATCTCTGCATACGCAACAGCAATATATTTGCGCATGAGCAAAAGAGACATGTAAACTCATGTCAGGTGATGTTAATCACAAATATAAAATAGGCATTCACAAGTTAATAAAAGTAATTATATGCAATCGGGTCTTGTTCGTGCATTTTTTAAAAACGATTAATTTGCCGATTGCATATAATTATAATGTATACAAATCGTGTGAGTTAAAAAATATTATTAATAAAAGTAATCACATAATTATATACAATTATGTATTATCTCGACACCAGTGGCGGACTAAGAGGGGGCGGAGGTTGCGGCCCGCCCCCTAATGATCTCCCATTATCTAAAATATTCTGACAGTAGAACTTCATGCTTGCTATAATGCCTGTTAACGAAGTGTCGCAATTTAATTGATTATGCAATATTTATCCCGATTCCCAAGACTTGTTTCTTGGGATAGTAATATGAACTTGTTTCCTATATTTTAAACAAAACTAATTTTAAACAGTAATATTTCGTATATTTAAAAAAATATATATACCTATTTAAAATCAACACAAGACTTGTAAAGGACCTGAAATGCCTGAAAAACAAAATTTCAAAAATACACGCAATTAAACTGTCTAAACGCAGTTTTATTTAAGAACTTTATGAATGCAAAATATATCTAATATCTATCTAATAGGTACTCCAATTCTGGAGTAGATTGCAGCGTGAAAACTGTGTGCCAGTTAGCAGGCAACGTGTTGTATTAGAGCGTGCTATCGGTCGCCTGCGGGACAAGGCGGCGTTAGTTAGGAAAGCTGCCATACAGTTACTTAAGGCAAGTATTTAAATTATGCTATAATTAAATATTGCTAGCAGTATTTCATGTTAGAGCACATAACAAACATTAAATATAAACGCCGCTAGGTGGCGTCACTTTGGTAAACACTTAGCACGTCAGGCTACCACAATAGATAAAATTTTCGCAATTGATTTTGAACTCTCAATGTATTTAGGTTTAAAATGAAATTGAGAAATTTTACAATTTTGTTTATTGAAAATATTGTTAAATATTTTATGTTTTCAAATATTGCCATCCAATGTGAATAATAATAATTATAATAATAATAATTTACATCCCCTGCAGTGGGGACGTAAAACATTCATCATCATCACCAGCCCGGTGATGATGATGAATGTGAACATTGTCAAACATTGTCAAAATGTTTAATGTTCAGGGAAATCCATCCAAACAGCTGAAATTTTTTTTTACAAATATTCAAACTATGAAAATTTGTTCTAAATGATTATATAAACATTTTTCATAAAAAATAAGTAGAAAGTTTAAGTGATTATGTACATGTAATTACTTAGTAAAACTTATGGTAACCATTAATGGGCTTAACTGAATTTAATATCAGAATCGACATATCTACTTAATTACATGTGGACCAGCCAAAAATCATGAAATCGAAAAAAAATCACATAAACTGATATCACATAACTGATTTTGAACAGCAAACCGGCTTCTATAACCAATAACCAATATAAGTACTTTTTAGGTGTTCCTCGAGTGTAACCCGTTTTCTGCCCAGTTGAAGTTAGATTTACTCGAAGAACAACTAGAAACAGAACAGAAGATATTGGATGAGCTACAGAAGAAATTAAATCCTGGGCCGGACTCAGAGTTGATTAAAAAGTGGGAAAACATTGAGAAAGACGTGATAAAAACAATAAAAGAAAAAATCGATATATTGACACAAGACGAGCCGGATCTGTCGCAGGCGTCTCTGGATAATTTGTATGAAGCCATTCGAAAACATGTGCGAGAGAAGGACTACTACAAAGCATATTTAATTGTAAAACACACCGAACGACAGTATCCTGATGCTAAATTGTTACGATGTGATATGGAAAAAAGTGATCAGGTAATAAAGAATTCAATAACTTAAATGTCCTTATCTATACATATATTATTAAAAGGAAAAATTAGATTGTTTTCATCGAATAGGCTGCTGAAATAAGGAGCAATTATAAAAATAGTTTCACATACGGGAAGCTACATCTTGCGCGTGTGACATATGCTATAATTTACTCTGGCGAAGTCGTGGGAAAGCGACTAGTGAATAACCATAGTCAATGTTTGAATATATGTTTCAGATCGATTATTTCGTTGCTTTACTGCGTAATATTTTCATTATACCTGATAGAAGGCAATCTGTTTCGTTAACGCAACAATGCGAAAACGAACTGGCACTATACAAGAGGTTGGAGGAGAAAGAGAACATAGTAGCCTTTTTGCAAGAATCTGTGCACTTTAGTCGTATGGTCTCTGAAGCGGTTCCATTGATTAACGCGCTATTGATGTCGAAACAAGCCGGAGATGTGAGCGAGGCAATAGACTTCTTTACGACAGCACACCACTTTAATATAGAGTCGGCTAAAGTCGGTGTTGCCAACATGCTGCTTCTAGTTTGGTCTCCAGATCAGGTACATTCTATGATATGATTTTTGATGAAAAACTTTTTCTGATCTCTAACCAGTTTTCTCAAAAGTTGTTTAGCCCCGACATATATGATTGGTCAGTCCAATCCTAGACTGATCTTGATTGATCATTCAGATATTCAGGGCTATATTTTGACAGATTAATCAGAACTTAAGTTACACATTATGTATGATAAACTCATTATTAATTAAAATACTTAAAAAACATTGTGTATAAAACATAGAAGTATAACCCAAGTTCCTGAACTAGCAACTTCGTGCATGTTAGACAGAGAAAAAACATCCATAACTAACTTAGCTAATGTAAACAATTAGATATATAAAATCGTTTATTTGCATCACAAACCCACATGCAGATAAGATAAATTATTGCTTTTTTATATATTAATTAATGTTTTATTGTATAACTACCAGGATAAACGTGAAGCTGTAGAGCGTGCTTACCGTGAGATGTATTTGGAATGCGATACTAAAGCAGAACGAGCGCGCGCGTTCAGTATCGGCAAGCGACTTGTTACGCTCGTAATGCACGTGGACCGTGGCAGTGCACTTGCACTAGAACATCTGGTTGGCCAGTGGGTAGAACGCGGGGACATATCGCCTGCTATAATACAGGTATATAATAGCACTATGGTTATAATCGTTGGTTAATTGACGGTTGTAACAATAAGTTATGAAATAAATATTGGAAATGGTAACTTATATTTAAAACGATAACTATGTTAAGTATTTTTATTGTTTTTAATTAATTGTAAGTATACAATTTTTTGGTAAATTAACCTGCTGTTCATAATCTGAGGATTACAAGAACGAAACGCGGGCGACCATAACGGAGCGTCTAGTGACGTCCATTATTTTTTGGTATTTGGTAAAAATATCTGCTAAAGTTATGACATATTCTCATTTAATAACTTCTTTTGACTAAATATAGTGTGTTAGACTATTGGTTTAGTTTCTTTAGAATCTGACTTTTAAAAAACGTATAGAGTAAGTTTCTGGTCCTTAAGTTGTTACTGTAATACTCATTATATTATGAAGTTCATCTGTATTTATATTTACTCTTTTAGGTGTTCTGGGAGATCTTCCTGAAGAAAATTGACGGTACCACTGATATGGACAGTTACGCCGCTTTATCGCTTCTTGTAATGGTCGCAAAAGCTAAGCCATCCGTAGCATTAGCTAATTTGGAAGTAATACAGACTCACGGTCTCACATCCGATTACAATTCACGCAATTTGAGCGCTCAACTCCTATTGTCACTGGCTAAAAAGAACCAAAGGTACCCCTCCGATCATCCAATGTTCATTGCCGTTTGCGATAGTCTTCTAGAAACATTCTCCAAATTAAATAACTTCGTTTCGTTCGCGGCTAATACCATAGATTTGATTTATGCTTTATGCGATACCCCTGAGACTACATGTGCAAAGTTGTTAGCAGAAATGTACAAGAGTATAGAAAAAACTATGGTTAAAGATAAAGAGAACGAAGAGGATGTTAGTCTACCCACGGAACTATTGACACGTTTTGTGTTTGTTCTTGGCCATGTTGCATTGCAACAGCTGATTTATCTCGACATCAGTGTTTACAGTGAGCTAAGAAGAAGAAATCAGGTAAGGATTCTTTGACAACAGTGATTTAAGTAAAACTTTTTAATAACTATGAAACACAATTAGAGTTTGACTCATTGAAAATAAGTTATGTATTGAAATAAACATAATTTCATATTGAGTTATAAAGTCGCATGATTATCTTTAAGTTTTGTTACAAGATGGCACTGTTATTATTTGATTGACATCTTTTAATTTATTAAATAATAAATTCTATCAGTGTTATTAATAAACCAGGCACTTAATTCCTGGTCGAAAATGTAAATCAATACAGAAAATGGAATTTTCACAAATTTCTAAAAGTTTAGAATTTTTATTTAATTTTAAGGCAAGAAAACGTGTTTATTTTTCCGATATATTTGTTTTGTGGTTTTTGTAAATAAAAATAATCACTTACAATAACTTTTCATCCCCTATTTGATAAGACACGATATTAATTCCATTCGACTCGGTGTTTAATAGATTGAAATAACTTTTTTGATTTTGTTTTGATGTCAATATTTATATCAGGTTCGTGAAGAGAGGAAAATAGAAGACAAACGTAAAAAGAAAACCGGGGCTTTCGCAACTCCCGGACGGCGAGGACGCGTCGATGATCTGCGGCGGCAAACTCTGATGAACGTCAGCAATTCCAGTGCTTCCTCGCGAGCACAACGTGCCAACAGTGTCGCATCCAATAAAGGACCTTCTGTAAGATTATATTTAGACATATAATAGGAATGCCGAGATTTATCTTTCTAATTGGACTTACTCCATTGACAATCAACGAATTTATACAAAATTAAAATAATGATGGAGATTGACAAAAAATTTAAATATAAGGGATAAAATAATTTATCAACAACTAAAAAATATTAAAGATTAGTAAAACAAGCAAATTATTCTTAAAAATAAATATATTTATAAATTTGACAGTTATAAAAATAAATGTGTTTTAAATGCTAACTTATTCTTGAAAATTAACTTGCGAATTATAATCTAATAGTTATAACCAAAACGCAGCTGGCCATGTTGGAGCATTTGTGACGTCACATTACTCATGTTTATTGATATGTGATATCAAGGCTCGAAGTCTTATGGCATTGTTTTCGCGGGACAAATTAAATTAATGGATTAAAATATGATTTTCCTTTATTTAATATAACAGTTTGGAGAAAAATGGATCTGATAGTATTTTATGATCATATAAAATTAGCTTTCCAAAAACAGTGAACTCACCACTTCACCAATGTTCAGGTAGTCCACTCAAACAGGCAAATGAAATATTTTTACAAATATTTAAAATCTCGATAAAGATGAAAACCTGTTCCAAGTAAACCTGTTACAAATATTTAAAATCTCGATAAAAAAATCCACTTTATAAAATCCACAAATCAAACCCATGGCTGGTTGGTAATTTTTCATTAAGAATATTTAACATTGATTACTTATTCCATTTTACACCAAACTAGTATTTCTCGCCTTCAATTTTGTGTATCGCGTCGATCCTGAAGTCTGACGTTCCCAGACCAATACTACGATGACCGAAGAGGAGACCGGCCTGGAGGGGGCGGTTGCCGACGACGCCGACGCCGAGTACGTGCGCGGCGTGTGCGAGCGGGACATAGTGGGTGCGGGCACAGCGCTGTCCCGCTACAGCGCTTTACTGCGCTGGCTGCTATCGAACCCGGCGCGTTGCCCGCCGCCGCTGCAAGCAGCCGCTGCCCTCACATACACTAGGTACTTAATCATCATAACCGAGAGGTCTTTTTTTTTCATTTGAACCCGGCGCGCTGCAAGCAGCCGCTGCCCTCACATAGGTACATAATCATCATAGCGGAGTGGTCTTTTTTTTCATTTGAACCCGGCGCGCTGCCCGCCGCTGCTGGAAGCAGCCGCTGCCCTCACATACACTAGGTACATAATCATCATAGCCGAGTTCTTTTTTCTTTCATATATTTGAGTTAATTATTAAGAGTAAACAAACAGTACCAATAGGCTTGTTGACAACTTATTTTTTTTTTCAAGTTTAAAAGTGCATTTTCCAAATTAGTGCCATTAAATTTATTTTCTTAAATATTTATAAGTTAAAATGGTTCATATTTTCCGAACATATAAAAACACCTGTATTTTCACTTGTGGGACACAAACCTATTTGAAATATTGTTAAAATTATCTACGTAATTTTAAAATCGCCACCAAAACCGTACCGAATTCACGTGTTTTAATTACTCGGGTTGATGGTTATACAATTTGGATTGATTTTTACAATTCATGTAAGATGACAGTTTTAAAATTCGAAACTACTATTAAATGGTGATACTATTAAATGGCTTACCGGCATTTGTTCGGTATGAGGCAGTTGCAAATAATTTACATTGATTTCTACATTGAGTCCTGGATAGTACTCTGTAACTTAATCTTTTTGTTATAGAAATACAGACATTTATTTCGGCATAGATCATAAAGCATTTTCATTTCAAGTACGTCTTTGACTTAGATTGATTACATTTTACTTTTGTCCTTAACCTTTATAACTGTAAAACAATGATAATGAGCAACTTCTTACTGCTAGATTAGATACCCCTTAAATTTGATATTTTCACATTTTTGGTGAGAGCTTGACATGTATATAATACATAAACATATTCTGATTCAGCAACTAATCCTCCCTTAATTATTCCTTAAGGTTCATGTTAGTATCGAGCTCGATGTGCGATGAAGGTCTACAATTGATGGTCACTGTCCTTAAACGGTCAAAGAACGTCTCTCTTCGGACCAATCTTACGATAGCTTTTGCTGATCTAACACTGCGCTTCCCTAATCTCACTCAGCCTTGGACTCATCACATTTACCACATGTAAGTAAAATTTTATATGAAAGCATTAAAATGGTCTCAGTTCTATATAATTTTCAACTTAAAATGTTATATGTTTATTAGTGTATGTTTGCCTACGTCGATCTTCTACATGTCGCGCTATCCTTTTCTATCGCTTTGAATCACAATTCGCTAGAGCGAGAAAGATAGCGAGTGTGCCTATGGAAAACCCACTATATATACATACTACACATGCCCTATGTGGAATCCATGACACGATCCTTTCTCGTTCTTGCAAATGACGATCCAAAACTAAAACGACATTTCACGTCAATATATTATTATTTTAATACAACTACTTACATTCGTATTGATAATAACGCTAATGTTTTACATAGACGTTCATCACCAACCAATTAATATTCCCACTGCTGGGATTCCATCCATAAGGTATGGATGAAATTAAAGCAAATCGAATAATTAGAATGGGCCATGAACCACCGCGCGGGGCCAGTGCGGTTTGGTGGGTAATAACGACTGCAAATGCATCCAGGACCCACGGCTTAACATGCCATCCTGAGTAATTATTCCGAAGTTAATTACATAGACGTTATCAGTTGTAAAACAAACTTAAGAATTTAATCAAATTAAAATTCTTAAAAGATCCATTCTCCCTGGCACTTTTTGAATAACAATATTTTGCATTATATTTATAAAATTGTGAATGCAAAATTGATTAAATATACAAATTAAAAGTTCCAAACAAATAAACAAATCAAGTAGAATTATATTTTTTCAGCTTAAGTGACGAAGAACTAGAAGTGCGTCAATGCGCAGTAAAGATGCTCTCATTCCTGGTCCTCCACGAAATGGTTCGCGTGAAAGGACAGATTGCTGATATGGCGTTATGTTGTGCCGACAAAGACCCACGCGTGGCCAGTATGACGAAGCTATTCTTCAAACAACTCTCACAGAAGGGCAACGCATTATATAACGTAATGCCTGATATTATATCTAGACTCAGCGATCCAGAGTTGAATGTCCCGGAGGTACAATATAGGGTTATTATGAAGTGAGTAATTTTTTGTATAATTTTCTATTTCGTATCTTGCAATATCATAATAATTATGATCTAATTTTACTAATATTAGTAAGATTTTTATATATATGATGTATAGATGATTCAAGAGGAAGACTTATCCACGCGGGTGAAGCCGCTGGCAGAAAACTAGTTAGTTATTTTATTTTTTTTCTTTTGCAGGTACATAACATCCCTCATTCAGAAAGACAGGCAAATGGAGGCTTTAATTGAGAAGTTATGTCAACGTTTCAAATTGTCCACCGAGGAGCGACAGTGGCGCGACCTCGCTTATTGCCTCTCTCTTTTCAACTACAACGAAAGATCTCTCAAGAAACTCATAGAAAACTTAGACTGCTACAAAGATAAATTACACTGTGCTGGTGTCATGGAATCCTTTACCACTCTCATGAACAACACTTCCAAAATGGCTAGAAACGAAATAAAGGTGTGTATATATAATTAGCATTGCGTCTTGAATCACTAACAGAATCACACTAATAACTCCGAGAAAAGAGAGAATTTTGTACGGCAATCATACGTTATTACATGTCAATACACATCTCTTTCACTCGCGCGAAAATATAAATATATTGCTATTGCGCTCACACAGATGCATCTTGTCAATTTGATCATAGTAAAGTGAACCTAAAATGTTTACGATATCTATTAGTAAGCACAAAGGTCAACGTACGAAATTCCCTTTGGCGACTGATTCATGCATTTCATTTAAAGTAATGCCCGTTTTCACTGAACTCACGCAATTCGCCCAAATATGTAGGAATCGCCTAAGGTGCAGAATGCATTTGACTAATAACTAAAACCCACGTAACAACATTAAGCAACGTTTGAAATTATGATGAGCGGCACTTTGCACTAGGCATTTACGTAATTGAAACATAGGATAAAAGTAAGAATATTTATTTGCAATTAAAATTACGATTCTTAAGATTAAGCGTTTCCTAATTAAGCTATGCCTTGTTCTAGGTTAGGTACAGTGAAGTTTGTAATCGATCATGCATCAGACTGATAATTTATTGACACTGTATTACGAAATATGTTTTAAAACATGCCCCTTTGGTATCATATTAATAAGTATTCAATAATCTATGAATGTACATTTCAGACTCTCGTTACCGAGCTAAGCGACAAAATAGAGGAATGTTTCGCTGTACGAGACGGTGAGGAGCAAGAGGGTGAGGATGAGTCGCGCGCGTTTCAACCGCCGACCGCTCGGCCGCCGCCCACGCCCCGCCGCAAACAAGCGAATAGACGCAACCGCAGACGTAACTCTGACACCAGTCCAGATGAGGTCAGTGGGTACAGATGAGGACAGAATAAAAAATCATAAAGATGTGTTAAAAATATAAAATAAACTCGTTATACTCAATAATAGAAAGTAAATTTTAAGGTTTAAAATTCATTTATTTATATTCCATGTGCGTTAAGGACGACTTACATTATTGCTTACGTATACCAAATACGGGTGTAGACAGTAAATAAAAGTAAATACTTTTTTTCTGCTAGTTTTTATATACTAATACCGATAATCATAATGCTTGTTATATATTTATAATATTGCTTAAATTTATTATGAAAAAACAAATATACTCGTTAATACGTGAACGCAAACAGCGTGTGACGTCACGGCTTTTTACTTATATCAGAACTTGGAGAATTAAACCTTGTGCATGTTATAGAACGACATTAGTTTTAGAAGGGCGTGACGTCATAGCGATGCCATGACAGAAGTTGCCGTTTACGAGGGAAATTTTGAAAGTTAAATTTATTTTTATAGTATAATTAAAAAATAAGTTAAAGTATCATTCATTTAAGAAGTTAATTATTTTTACTTATACTTTTTTATAGATATTCTTTTTAGATATGTTTCAAGTATGTCTATAAAAAAAATATATATTATCAGCCAGTTGCACAAACGTCCATTAAAATTGTCATTAGTTTAAAACAACTTTAAACTTTGACATTTATTAGAGCTTAAAGACGTTATTAAACTTTAGTGGACGTTTGTGCAACAGACCGTTAGTCAAACAAGGTATCTAGTAACATTTATTTTTTATTTTTTTATTGGTAACTTTTGGTTATCGTTGCTCCATCGTTTACAATAGAAACGTTTCATTTGCACGTATACGCTGTTTTGGCACTCATTATTGTGACGGGTATTAGACATAATGCGCGTATACAGAAAATACTTATTTAATGTTCCTCTCAGTGAAATAAAAATAAATTTTTGATATCTCATGGGAATCCCTGCATGCGTAGCATGACGAACCGGAGAAAGTTTTGTCACACCCAAATGTCACTTCTTGGGTGCGCCAATTCGCTCTCGACCCAAGAAAAGTGACATTTGGTATACACCAAGCGTTTCTCAATATTGCTAAGCATGCAAAACAACCAAATTTATCGCAAATCGAATTTGTATGAACTGTGTATAAAGCTAATGGGTATGTTTTATTTTCAGAACGAGCCACCTAACAAAGTTGATACACCACAATCCGTGAGAAAATCGAATCGTAGAGTAATATCGAGAGTTAACAAAGCTGCAACTAACGATTCTGATGAATCAGGTATTGAAAGCAACCATCATCAATCTATTGCGTATATGCGCGGTCCTAGTGTGGACTGGCGGGTGTTAACTACTACAGATGCAGCCGAGACTGACGGCTTAGCACGGAAGAGCCCGAAATAAAAAATTCTTGGTTACCCATCCCATGATTGCCTCTTGCGAAAGTTACTTAATTTCTGCATCTCAAACTAAATGCGCTTATTACTACTATACCTTAATTATGTCCTTTAGTCTATAAGCGCGGGGATTTTCTTTGGAGTTCTTATTACTTGCTAATATTTTAAGGGTTATTCGCAAGATGATCTTTATAGACCATGAAATCTAACCAATAACTAAATAATAATGTCTTTAACGGTTTCATCGCGTATATACTTTGAAAAATTTACAATACAGGTTCCTTTCCGTGTTCACGTTTCAAAAGATAGACGCGATAAAAACTTCCAAATGTCGTTTTATTCAATGAATATTGCACGTGAAAGTATAAGAAACATGTCAAATAAAATATTATTGACGTAAAATAATGAAGTCCAGGATTTGCATCAACCCATTGAGAGAGTATTAAAATTTTATTTATTTATGTATTTATAGATGAAGACGAAGAACAAAATAAAGAAGAAGATGACGTCTTCAAAAAGCCGCCAGCTCGTAAAACTACACGTAAAAGGAAATAACCTCGTTTTGCTCTATTACCGTTACACGAAAATGTTATTATAAATGTAACATTGTATAGTAAAGGTACTTTTTCAAATTTGTTAAGTTTTATTAATCTATAGTAATTCTCGTATCCTTTAATATTCCCCTCCCCCTCACACACTCACGCACGCGCGCACGCACGCACGCACACACGAGGGTACGCCGCCGCAGTGGGTTTTATCAGGTAGGCCACGCTTTGACCCTTCGGGGCAGGTCTTGGTGGTTCATGAAGTAGACTAGAATGAGAATACGGGTGCAGGCGCTTCAAAAATAGCACGTTCATTGGAGTTCAACGACCGTGAAGTCATAATATTGAATGAGTTGGTACCTTACGCTCTCTAATGCCTAGTTGCGCAAATAAATGGTGTGAAAAGTGCACTACAACTTTTTATACGAGTATAATTTACACGAGAAATGGCATATCATTTCATAGGCGAGTGATTTTTTATCTATATTTTGAAATTAAAATACAACCAAAAAATTTTCACAAATTATTGCATCTGAAATGCACGCGTTGTTGTCTTCCATGCCGTCTCTTTCTGGTGCATTGATTTCTCGTAAGTAGAGTTATAGATTTGAAAAAATATATAATTGATTTAATTTAAATATAATACTATAGCCTAGAAAGTTTTGTTTTATTATTATATGTTTACATGAGGTTCCACTTTATCGATATTTCTTATGAATCTGT